AACATGTATTTTTTTGTATCTTTAGTTACCCAGGCATTATGATTTTTAAAGTCATTTCTTATCATTTAGAAAATATACAATCAAGAGTGATTTCTAAAAAGAGAGAGAGAAACCAAAGGTAATAATAATTTACTAAACTACATTTTTAAATATTCATATGCTAGATTCATAATATATAAAGACAAAATTTTTCTGTTATTCTGTTCTTTGCATTTTCATATCCATTTGTGTACAAAGTTCTAAGAAAATACTGTGCTATACTTAAATGATAGATATCAATTGACCATATTACAAGATGTTTGTTATTAATGATACCTTTTAATTTCAAAACACTAAAAGCTCTACTAGAATACTACTTAGTAATAACAACAGCATTAGCATTTAATCAGCTTTAATCTATGCCAGGTGAATGGTTTTCGTGACTTTTCTCATTCAGTCCTTACAACAATCCTATGATGTGGGCGGAGTTATTACCCACTTATACAGTATGCCAGTGACATGTCATGAGAGATGGGATGCCTGCCTGTCACCCAGTTAGAACGTGGGGGAACTGGGGTTAGAGTCTCAGTCTCCCAGCACTGGAGGAGAGACTCTCACTAACCCCCACACAGGGTCCCACAGGCCCACACAGGAGGGGAACAAGTGGTCTCAGAAATAACCACTTAGTCCTCCCACCTCTTGTGGACCCAGTGAACTCCCAGCTTGCAGATCCAGCTAGAATGAGATTCCACCCATAAAATCAAGGTGTGGTATTTTATGTCCTTTTATAGGACAGATGGCCAACCCTTTAGAAAAAAAATTTTTTTTTCTTCTGTGTTGCTATATCTACAGTTTCAGCTGCAGCTCTCAGGTGGTTCAGATGAGCTGTCATAATGGGTGGGCCATTCTTGTGTGCCAGCGATGGAGAAATAGGACAAGGCTACAACCAGTTGTCACCTTTTACATACAAATATTAAACCCTAGTGACCTTAGTTAGTATATTACCTCCTGGAGCAAATATGTATTGTAAATCCAACTCCCCATTCTCCCAGTTTCATCGCTCTGGCCTGTAGGGCCACTGGGCTAACTCCAGTGTGAAAGCATTGTCTTCTACGGCTCTTGCATCTTCTCCCCTCCAGGCTACATTCTGAGATTGAATGTCAGTCCTGGGCATGGAAGCATACCGTTCTAGCTAATTTTTTAATTTTGCATTAATGAGGTACAACTTCCTGAGTTCTTCTAATTTCAGGAACTAGACTCAACTTTCATCTACACTTGTTTCATGAATCTTGTTAATCTGACACCATCCCTGCCTTTGATAGTCTGAGTACTTAAGATATAATTCTGTTTTTTTTCCAGTGGCACCAAAGTTGAACACCAAATCACACAGGACTGTCAGCGGAGTCCTGATGCTGTGCCTCTTACCCACAATCCTGTTAGGCCCCATCTCCTCTTCCTGCTCTCTCATCTCTTTCCCTCAGTTACCCTATCTCTTCCTCTCAAATCACAAAGGATTTAAGGCAGGTTTGTTTTTACTGAAGCCTGTCAGCTGCCCCCAAACTTTAGCCAAGGTTAAACCACCCCCCCCCCTTTCTATACATTTCTAACTATTTTAATGGAACAGGGCATTTTTATATGTAATGGATTTTTAAATTTTTTTATTGATGGAGAGGAAGAGAAAGGGGGAGAGAGATAGAAACACCAAATGATGAGAGAGAATCATTTATCAGCTATCTCCTGCAAGTTGCCCACTGGGGATCCAATCCACAACCTGGGCATATGCCCTGAGCAAGAATAAAATGCAACCTTCTGGTTCATAGGCTGATGGTCAACCACTGAGCCATGCTGGCTGGGCTATCATGGGTTGTTTATAGCCATTTATGCCACTGTGTCTTCCATGCTCATCTTATTATCTAAGAACTCAGGGCATTTTCCTCAGAGATATACTAGCACAGAGCACAAATTATCCGCAAGACACCAAGCAATGCCATAGCAGAAGATTGTTGTTAAAACTAACTCCTAGGAAACCAAGTGAATTTCATTCCGCTGGCTTATTTTCTTTTTTCACATTCTTGATATTTGTCTATTTGTTTAATTTATGGCTTTCTGGATTACCCAAGTAATACATAACATAATTTTATAAAGGTTTTAGATAAATTGAAGATCCTCTTTCTCTCTTCAACCCAGTCTTACTAATAACCCACACATTGAAAATCAGATTCAATTAGAAAAATCCCCATGGCTTCATTCTGTGTGTGTGTGTGTGTGTGTGTGTGTGTGTGTGTGTGTGTGATATGCATAACTTGGGTTTATAAAATCATCTTTAGTTAAGATGATTTTAGAGTTTCCTGGGAAGATTTGAAGCCTTTTTAGTCACTGTGGACTTTAGATCCATTCTTATATGGATAGGAAGTCAATAAAAGTTATTTTAACTTATATAGTTTTTGTTTTATATCAACTTCTGGTGCAATTGTGTGTGCATGTATGTCTGTATGTGCACACACATGCATCTGGTAACATTCTGTGTCAGCCTAATTTTAAATAGCGAATGCGGTAGTGAAATATTTGGCACTTTTTTTCTTTAGATATAGAGGCAGTCATTTAAGGTGAATTTGGATGTTCCTTTATGAACTGTCAAAGAAACATTTCCACTTTTTTCACAGTAGCAAGCTGCCAGTTCAATTTTGTCAGTCACCATCTTTGTAAGACAATGTTTGTGCTCGTTTCTTAGAATCTTATTGCATTTTGCCTTTATCAGTTGCAATTAATTAGTAGAAAATGTAACTACAGATACTACTTATGACAAAGTTGTAAATCATTAAGTGTACTAAAAACTCTTTAAACTTCAATCAAATGTTCAAAAGATTTACACCAGTTAGTTTTGGGTTCAGTTTTGAAGAAAAAGCACACAAAATCCACGTGAGAATTAACAGAAATATATTGCCAAAGAGGATATAGTGTAGGACTTTTAAACTATGTTTACCTTTCTCCAAATGGAAAGTCCTACAATGTTTTATTCTTGTAAAGACTTCTGCAGATTTGATATCTGGACATGTTTTCAGGAAGGCATTCCAACGGTAGAGCATAATGGCTACTACCAGGTACCCTGGAGTCAGACAGATTTGGGTCAGACTCCAGCTCTTGAACAAGCTCTTTGCCCTCTCTGGGCATGGATCTGTTCTCCATGTTTATGTCAAAGGATTGTTGTGAAGATTAAATGAGATTTTTTTTCCTCCCAGCACAGTGCCTTGCAGATAGTAAGAGTTTCACAAAGTTAGCTCTCATTATGACTATGTTCATCATCATCACCATCGTTGTTGTTGCACCTGTGTGGAAGGGAGGCACTGTCTATCCTGGTGCTTACGTTGTATCAAGTTATGATACAACTCAATCCCCTCTAACCCATGAGGCACAAGGGGAAAGGCTACTGACATTAAATTTGTAGCTCTTTTTTAAATACATTATATTCCAGATAATGTATTTTCACTCCTCATTTGATTTCTTAAACATACATCCACATATTTTTCACATTCCTCTTCACAGTTGAATTTAAGCATTTCCTTTTTCTCCCTGTATTTTGTGTGGAGAAAAAAAGGCAATGAAGTGCCACTTCTGTACATATATCAGAATTTAGGATACATGTAGCCATGCTTATTTCCGCATCCAGAGATCACATACACCTAAGCCAGCAATGTTAATTGTATTCAAAAGAAATTCAATCAAATTAAAAGCATGACAGAGGCATGCTTATGAACAACAATAAAAAAGAAACCCTTTTATCTTCTTTATGGTCAAAATAGAAAAATACCTTTGAAAAAGTTTTAACCAATTTATTTAAACAAATCCTCATGGGCATGTCTGAATAGCCATTAATGCTGCACTTTGTCCCATTTGATTGGCACTCTTGAATAATAGTAGGAATGCTAATTATTCCATGTTTTTCTTAGAAGATTTGGTTGGAAAAGAGGCTTCACATTTATTGACTCAAACAGAATCGAAGACGTAAAGAATATGTGTACATGAATGAGTGTTTTCTTTCTAAACTGGTCACTTATTCCAGTAATGATGCCTCTGATCAAGATATACTCCAAAGTCTCTTAATATATTTTTATTGATTTCATAGAGGAAGGAAGACGGAGAGAAAGGTAGAAACATCAATGATGAGAGAGAATTATTGATTGGTAGCCTCCTGCATGTCCCCTAGTGGGGATTGAGCCTGCAACCTGGGAATGTGCCCTGACCGGGAATCAAATTGTGACCTCCTGGTTCATAGGTTGGCACTCAACCACTGAGCCATGCTAGTTGGGCTCCAAGGTCTTTTAAATGGATCCTAAGCGATATTGACCTTTTTGAGGGTAAATTGGATTTTTCAGAAATTTGCGAAAGTTATTCAGAACTGTCTCTTATAAATAAGATGACTAGCAAAGGAGATGAATAATAAATCTGAGTAACATTTTGAGTGAAAAATTGAGATATAAAATAACAAGGCTGGTTCCAGTCTTATATGGACAGTTCTTTTATGTGGTAAGTTTTCTTTTTTAACAGATTTCCAAAGCATTTTGAAAGGTGGCAGCATCATTGCAATAGTTTAGCCTCCAAAGTGGTGCCGTTGAAGGAAAAATACTCCATTAGAATGTATACATTCTCTTCTGCTTAAAATTCAGTCTTATGTTCTTACCATGGTACTTAATGAACAATTTTTATCTTACAAACAGTAAATGTGTTCATTTGTTTGGGACTGTGTTTCCACTGAGAAGACATACTTGTAATAACTGTGAACATAATGCTCAGCAGGGCTTGTTGGCATTGAATGGTAATATTCAGATTTCTCTATTTGAATGGTTTTCACTAAGATTTTTCTAAGTAAAATACTTATACCTGGTTGATAACTGACCAGATTCCAAATTGGGGCCACATGTAAAACACATTAAAGTTTATATACTACAGAAATTTTTTATACAAGAGACTCCAACATCTCTCTCTTATCCCATTCTCACTGACGCCATCCATTCGCCTTCCAGCAATGGCAAGCCGGCAGGTGGACATCGCAACGCAAGGCTGGTTCATTGGTCTCATGTGCGCTGTCGCTCTCCTGATCTTAATTTTGTTGATTGTTTGCTTCATCAGACGAAACAAGGGTGGCAAATATCCAGGTAAGAAATAACGATTAAAATTGCCTTACAATGCTGCATAGTTACCCACTGAAGTAAAAAGAAATGATGAGGGTAAATCATGTAGATTGCAATAAGTTTACCTTTACAGAGCCATGCATTTGGACTTCCTGTTCAAACCATTTTTTTTTAGTCTCTTTTTAATCTAAAAAAGGGAGCCTAAACATTGTTGAGGGACAGGAGACATTTGGTGGGAGTACATTAATGTGTTCTTTGAAGGTATCAGTGACTCTGCTTCCTTAGGCTCCACCTAAGTCATAGGGGCCAAAATAGCACCCACAACGAACAGGCAGAGGGTGGAGGCCCCTGAAGTCTCCCCGAGGAAATAATGCCTGGACGGTGGGCGTCTTCATATCATGATGTTTACCGTTGCTTTCCCTATAGGGTTAGTGTTATATGACTCAGACGGTTGTGTAGAAGTGTTTTGGTTGTGTAGAAGTGTTTTCTTTCCACTGCTGTGTATCTCAAAGAGTGCACTGGTAACAACGTGGAGTAAGGAAACACGAGATCAGTAGATGAGAATGTCACTTGGAAATTTTCAGTTAAAGAAAAGGAAGACGCCCATGCTGATCCCGAAATCCAGCCCATGAAGGAAGACGATGGCACGTTTGGAGAATACAGGTGAGCTTGCCTCTCCCCGGCCCACTCCTTCCCTCCCCGCGCTGGTCTCCTGGGACGGGGTCTCGCCAGCTCTCCCTGCTAGTTCATCTTTTCTTCAAATGTTAGTTCATAAACTCTTCCCTTTCTAAATGTTTACACATCCCTCACAGCTAAAATGGCCTCTCGCTCTCATTAAAGAACAAATGGCCAGTGTAGTCACAGGTGTAAGGTGGAGTGTTCGTCCACTCTGTAGTACTGTCCAGAGGCTTTTGCTGTAGGTACCAGCCTAGCACAGCTGCTGTATTACAAGAAGAGTTAAAACAACAGCGAAGGCCCCACAGACCTGCCTTGTGAAGAGCACTGTGCCCGTTACCTTCCAAATGGTGCTTTTAAAAAACCAGTGTTCCTCTTTAATCTCAGATTTGAGACTATTTTTTTCTAAAAACCTATAACTCCACCTCTTAATCATGAAATGAAGACTAGTTTGTTTTAGAGGCTGCCCTTGTTAGTTTTAGATATCAGTGTTATACTAGACTTGTAAAATGATTAAAGGAGTGGTTCCTCTGACATGTCAAACTTTATCATGTCCAAACATCCAGTAAGGGTAGTTCTGTTCTTCCTGTTTCTCAAATCAAAAAGCCGGGCATTGTTTTTCTTCTCCATTATCCCATAGCTAATTCCTCAGAAAACCCTGTCTGTACTACATTCACAATATGTCCATAATCTCTCTCCTGGATGATTGCCATGGGCCCCCTGACTTCCTGGAGCAGGGGCAGCAGACTTTTCCTGGAAAGGGCCTGGTGGCTGCATGGCCCCCGCTGCAGCTCCAGGCTTCTGCTGTTTTAAGGCAGAAGCTGTCACAGGTAATAGGTAATAAATGGGAATGGCCCAATTTTTCTGTTTGCCAACTCCTGCTCTCTAGGATAGGCTGTTCTCAACTCTGATGACTGTAATCCTTTTTAAATGTAAGAGCGTGTCATTCATCCATTGGAAACCCTCCAATAGCTTCTCACCTCTCTCAGTTAAAGACAGAATCCTTACAATGTCCTACAAGGAAGGAAAACCCTGATCCAGCCTAGCCCTATCTCCTCATTTTACTTTTACTCATTCCTCCATCCTCCATTTCTCTCTCTCTCTCTCTCTCTCTCTCTCTCACACACACACACACACACACACACACAGACACACACACACACACACACAGACACACACACACACACACACACACACACACACACACACACACACACTCGGCTTCAGCCACACAAGCTCTTCTCTGTTCCTAGAACATTCTAGGCTTGCCTCTGCCTCCAGACATTTGTACTGCTTGTTACTCCAGCTGGAGTCTCTCTGTCTCCAGCTACCCACCTGGATAAGTCAACTCTTTTAAGTCTTTGATAAGATGTCACTTTTTAATGAGGCCTTCCCTGGACATCCTAATCCTATTACATGTCAACCTTTCACTCCCTCCTATGGCACCTCCCATCCTCCTCAGCTCTATGTTTTCCATGGCACCAATTACCTTTTGATATACTATACCACTATTCTTTTAAATGTATTTATTGTTTATGTCTGTGTTTTCCCTACTAGAAGTAGCTCTGTGAGGTCAGGGTTTCAGCCTATTTTGTTGGCTCTGTGTACCCAATGACTAGAACATTACCTGTCCTACAATAGGCACTCAATAAATATTTATTAGACAATGGATGGCTGCATGGATGGATCAAAGAAATGCCATAGACTAAAATTTTCTGTATACTTCTTAGAATACTAGTTCCACAGAGCAGGATATGATGAAGAGTTAGAATCCAGGTGACAGAATTCTGCTCATTATTGAACTCTTCAGAGAAATTAAGTGTCTTATCAAGTCATGAGCAATACTTCATAGGAAATATTCAAGCAAAGCCTACAAAATAATAACCAAAGATGTATATGTTATTCTTGCAGCAGGTTGGAGAATGGATGCTATGTCCCCTAAAGAACCCCAGACACAGGCCACCCCGAGGTTCTGTGATACTTCCCCAGTTGTTTATTAATAGTGGTGATAACATGGTTTATTCAGTTTGTGACAAAAACTTGTGTTTTGTTGAAACAGGTAGTTTTCAATAGCACATGTGTACTTCTTATTAAACTACGATTTTTTCCAATCTTAAGATTTTTATTTTTGGAAAAAAATTGAAAACACTGGTAGGAACTATTGGCAAAAGAGCCAGAATATTTGTGCATCTTAAAATATTAGTATCTAAGATAGAAGTAAAAGTCACTCTTAAAAACAAAGGGAGCAATAAAGTCTGTGTAGAAATTGGTAGGTGAAATACATCTACTGTGACCTCTCTTTTTACATTAAGCCTTTTTATTTTTTACTAATATTGTTTATGTTTTTTTATTTTGCCTGTATTTTTGTTCTTTGGAAGAAAAAATATATTGTCATTGCCTTTTTCTTTTTTTTTAAAGCCAAATGTTACCAGTTAAAGAATAGGTCAATGTGCATATGTTGTTACATGACCATATGAGTGGATGTTTTAAAACATAATGATTACTCTTCCCATTCCAAAGGTTCAACAGAGAAATAAAGGGAAAATGGGTCTTATAAAGATCTATCAAATTACCCTCCCTAGATTCCCATCTGACACAAACAGGCTGTGTCCCACACTTAGGAGAGGAGGAGAGGGGTAAAGAGAATACAGGAAATGCTTGCTTTTGCATATTTGGAATCACTCACGCTCTAGAATATATTGACATGCCATTAGTAGTACACACATATTTCTTTTAAGTTAAATTGTGTCTCTTTCAAAAATAATAAATCTTTACCCATTAACTAAAATTCTTACAGAAAAAAATACTATATACTATCAGTATAAGAATTTTGCTTTTCTTCTTAGGCTATTTTCATTTGTTTCTTCTGCATCCTTTTAATGGAATTTGTAGGTCTCTTGAAAGGTAAGGTTAAAGTTTACAAGTCTGGCCTGCACTCAATAACAAAATTATTTGAAATGCAGGATTTTACTGTTGCTTCTTGCTCAGAAAAAAAAATCCAAAATTATTAACCAAAATCATTCTCTATTCATATCCAAGGAATCAAAGATACTACAGTGTTTAACATACTAACTTCTCTACTTGCCATAATCTTTACCCCCTTTGGAATTCAAAATAGTGATGATTTCTACTTTTTTTCAATTCTTCCTTTTTTAATGCTTGTGATTATTTCTGAACTGTTTCTAAATCAGGAGCCTGAATCTGACATTGATATTGACCTGTACGATAAGAAACCATCCACCTACTGACGATTTCATGACTAAGCCATTTCTGTGCCTGATTTTCATTCCAGCCACACCCCTGTCATTGGAGTCAGCCTGGTGATCAGATTTAGCTAGAGAAGCTTGGGACTCCATACGCTTTATCATAATCGGCATGCATGCTCTTTCAGAACAAAAACACTTTACCAAAGTACCAGTCTTGGTGAAAATTTCTTTTTCTTCCAGTGATGCAGAAGACCACAAGCCTTTGAAAAAAGGCAGCCGAACACCGTCGGACAGGACTGTGAAGAAAGAAGACAGTGATGACAGCCTTGTGGACTATGGAGAGGGAGTGAATGGCCAGTTCAACGAGGACGGCTCCTTCATTGGGCAGTACAGTGGTAAGAAAGAGAAAGAGCCAGCTGAAGGCAACGAGAGCTCAGAAGCACCGTCTCCGGTCAACGCCATGAATTCCTTTGTTTGACTTGTAAGCTCTTTGCCAATATTCCCTTCCTCTTAGAGGGTTTATCTCAAGCACTTGTCAGTGAGCCTTCTCATACTGTGAACATAGAGGCAGAACGTATGTATTCTGCCGTATGTTAGCACTATGAGAACAGTTAGGGCAAGAACACAACTCAGTCAAAGGATACGTGAATGTGAACTGCAATGCAAAGGGCATACTTTTTTCGTTCAAAATAGGCATTCTTGATTTTCCTCAGAACTGAGAAAAATAACCCACAGACCATGTGATTTCCTCTTCAGGATACAGCTCAATAGGATGCATGAAAAAATGCTGCACAGCTCAACGGCAGACCTGTGTGTGCTGTTAAGACATGGTTTGATACTTTGTTTATACTCTTCTCAGCTGAACCCCCTAAATAGGAACAACGTTTTCCATTGTCAAGCGTGTTACTGTAGTATTCTCTAGAACTTCAATGTCTTTGTGGGCATTGTTGTGAAATTGGTGACTCTGTGTCTAGCTGTTAGTGTTTTGGGGAGACCGTTAGGAGCAGCACGTACAGGATATACTCGCTAAATGAGTTAACCACGACCGTGGCACTTGCTGATGCTCACTGAGACTCTGTTCTCTGCTCTTTGCTCTTGTTACCTCGTAGCCGCCTTAACCTTCCAGGTATTACAGCAGTGCAGTGTTCCACTTGCTACACCACCTCTCTGTTCAGTTGTTTTTAGGCATCAACAAGGTGTATTGCAGTGCATCCTGGCATTTGTGCCATACAGAAAGAACCACAGACACATCGCTCCCATTCAATTCCAAAACATATTCCAGAAAGCACAGGGCGGGACACAGGCAGTGCCTTCAGACAAGCATTCCGTAACACCCCGCCTTCTGCATCGAAGGCACGGCAGACTCAGAGTCCCACACCTCTGACATGGTCTAAAAGGAACACAGCAGAAATCCTGAAAACTCGCTGTGCTGGAAGAAAAAAAAAAAAAGGAAATGTGGAAATAAAACAGAGAAGACCACTTATTTTAAGGAGCATTTCCCCATACGCATAAAAAGAAAAGCGTTCTCACTGATTGGATCACATGATGATTTTGGGGGGGGCGGGGTCTTTCATAATTTCTAGTAAAACAAGTCCCTTCGGTAAGAAAGGGGTCAACTTGGTGTAAAAATTTAAAAACCACAAGGTATTCCAAAACTAAAAGCATACAACAGCATGCCACCAGGAATATATTATTAAGTCTTTACCTATGTGGCAACATTTTAAACTCTCTGCATTAAAAGACCTGTATGCAAATTGCTATGGACACATTTCAGAATCTAAAAAAAAAGCCGGTAAGTGCTAACAAGGCCCCAGAGTCAAGCGTATTACTATCTGCAGCTTCAAAACATTATATATATATATATATATATATATATATATATATATATACTACCATATTTATAAACAACATCTATCAAATGGTTTACCTCCACATAGGATATTCTATAACAACCTATGGTTGAAGGAATGCTCAGTTTCATTTGCCAATAAATTGGTTTCTCATAACTTGCATCAAGTTTAATTTTAAGTAAAGCTTTTTATATGTAGATATTTTGTTGAATTTGTACATACACTTAAGATGTAGATGCTCTATGCTTATCGGTGTCACATACAAATAAACATGCAAACAGTGTTTATGTTGTACTGACTACGAAGTTAGCTCATTAATACAGTGCATGGGACTGGAAAGCATTTCCATACCTTCGGATTTTTATTTTTCCTCTTTTGCTGTGAAACTGAACTAGCGAACTATCCTACACATGGACAGCAAGTTTCTAGATGGACTTCTTCCGAGCTTGGCCTGTGGGGCTCCGTAACCTAGTCAACGTGGCATCTTTGATACGTGTGGGTAAAGCACAGCTTGAAGCAATCCCAGGCGAAGATGGCCCTGAATACTTGTGTGTCTCCTTCTCTCATTTTTCACAGATCAGTCTTTCGAATGGAACCAGGCTCGTCTTGGTATCAGAGAGCACAAAGATAAACGTTACTTTACACTTGCCAGTGTTTGGGGGGAAGCAATAAAAGTACAGGTTTTACTCTTCCGTGATGGTAGATGCTAAATTTATCTGTGCATGAAGGGGTCACTTCTGTAATAGTGCAACAGATTTTGTATTAAAAGGTTAATGTGGTTTTAAAAGTCCCTCTCTTTTGTAATATGTCATGTTCCTAGTGGCGTGTGAGTGTCCGATGGTATATGTAACGGTACAAGCAGGTATGACTGGATTTTCATCGAAAAGTAACTATTAAAACAGTTTTGATCTCTTTGTGATTTTTAACTTTTTCCAAATGTATATTTCCTAATGTTTTAAAAGAGGGCAAATTTTTATTTTTTGCTTTTATGGTCTAAAAGTAACGTTTATACCTATATGCAGAGAAAATGAAACACAAAACTGGACACATTGTAACACAGAGGTAACAACATAGGGCCTATCAAAAAATGTCAATAAAGAGCAGGAAGAGTTATTACCAGCCTCTGAGACGCAGTCTGAGAAAGCAGCGGCTGCTTCCTTTCCTGGAGCCTGCCCCCCGCAGGCCTGGTTCCGGGCCTCGCCAGCCTGGGAGATCGCAGCCCTCCCAGCCACAGACACCTGCGATGCCTTTCCCTCTCCCTCTAGGTGAGAGAGTTTGGCACTTACAGATGTTACAGGTATGTCATCCACTCGCTTCTCCTCGGCCCTTTTCTCTTCATCACCTCAAACCTGTCTATCTCTGTAAACTGCCAACCTCCAGTTTGTTTCGCTGTCCTACCACCTGCCCTTACCTGTGCCCTGGCCCCAGCTTTCCACCCTCAAGACCTCCTGCTGGCACAGAGCTCCCCCTAACAGTTATTTGGATAACAACATGTTATAGTAAGCTCCCCTTCTCTCCCCTTATCCAAGCAGGATATGTCCAAAGACCCCAGTGAGTGCTTAGAACCTCAGAAAGTGCCCTAACTGGTTTGGCTCTGTGGATAGAGCGTCAGCCTGCGGACTGAAGGGTCCCAGGTTCGATTCCGGTCAAGGGCATGTACCTTGGTTGCTGGCACATTCCCAGTAGGGACTGTAGCGTGTTGGAGGCAGCTGATGGATATTTCTCTCTCATCGATGTTTCTAACTCTCTATCCCTCTCCCTTCCTCTCTGTAAAATATCAATAAAATATTTTTTTAAATTAAAAAAAAACCTCAGATAGTACCTAACCCTATACATACTATGTGTTGTTTTTTTCATATAGGTACATATCCATGATAAAATTTAGTTTATAATCAGGCACAGTAAGAAATGAATAACGATAACTAATGGTAAAATAGAACAATTATAGCAATATGCTACAATAAAAGTTACATGCATGGCTTTGAAGTGAAATAATAGCTTGAATACAAACACTGTGATACCAGACCGTGGATCTGATAACCACCCCTCTATTAAGTGCTTAAAGGATGATTCACATCTCATGCTGAACGCAGCAGGACAATGCCTGGTGGTTTGCCGTGTAAAACTTATGAATTGTTTATTTCTGGAATTCTCCACTTAATTTTGGACACCTGAAACTGCAAAAAGCGAAACTGCGGATAAGGGGACAGCTGAATGTAAGTCAACGGTAAAATGCTATACGCACCTTAGGATTTCTAGCTCAGAGAGCATTCCCTTCTGAGTAGAAGGCTGGGCCCCGCACTTCACACTGTGGGCCAGCCCCTCAGTCCCATCCTCAGGACGCTCATCAGGCACAGCTCTGCTTAGCAGCAGGGGCTGGCCACGTGGAAGCCTGACCACAGGAAGCATTGGTCCCCTGACACCTTCTGGTTCAGATGGTCTACAGCGGGCCTGGCTGGTTTGGGAAATGGCTTGTGAAGGCAAGAGACATACAAAGAACTGAATTCTCACACAAACTCAGCAAATCTCTCCCTCTCACAGATATTTCTACAAGGTTCCACCAGGGGGCGCCTGTGCTTCATTCAGTGCAAAAGAAACTGGGGAAAGGAAGGCTCTAGAGAAACTGTGCAAACTGCCTTTGATCATCAGACTGTGGTCTGACAGCAGAAAATGATTGCCTGCTGCCACCTGGGGAAATGCATTTGTCACTTCCTCTGCCGGCTTCTCGGCTTCCAGGGAGTAGCTGACTGTGGCCAGGTGGCTGGGCTGGGCTGGTCAGCAGAAGGAAGAGTGTGTGCTTCCTGAATCTCACTAGGCATCCCTCCCTACTGCAAGAGGTGGAGGGTTGGGGGGGGGGGACGTGCCTTAATATGTCCCCCCTTTCTCTAGAGCATGTCATTTGACTGCCACCAGTGCTTTGATTTATGTGATTGATTGGACAGCACAAAAAAAACACAGTTTACACACACACCACTTTTATTTTTACCCCTTTTTTTTTAAAAAAGCACAAGAGGGTGAGAATACTACCAGAATATTTACATTGAGGGGGTGGGGGAAGAAATAGTTTCCAGGTTGAGACAGAAAGAAACCAGAATATACATTCCAACTCTGCCATCAGCTGTCTGTGTAACCCTGTGTAAGTGAAACCCCCCTGATCTCCCATCTCTGTAGGCTTCCATTTCTTCACACACACACACACACACACAAAAAATGACAGAAAACAGATCATTTCTAATACCACTTTCTGCTTAAATCCCATGGTTCTAATCCCCTAATCCCCCCCCCAAAAAAAAAATACTTATTTTGAGCACCTGTGACAAGTATTTACTAAGCGGGGAGGATACAAGATGAGCTAAACCAGATGTGGTTTCTGCTCCCAGGATGCCTGGAGTCTGTTGTGAGAAGACAGACATTGATCAAATAGCCACCTCAACGAATGTGTAATTCCAAACTGAGATAAGCCCTTGAAGGGGAGGCACGCTATCCTGTGAGAGCGTAATGGAGGAGGCCGATCTGTGCAGAGTGGTCAGGAAGCTCCCTGAGGAAGTGTGAGCTGAGAGCTGGGGGACCAGTGGGAGAAGAGAAGGAGAAACGAAGGCCCGTGTGCTAGGAGCAAACTCAGGGGCCA